TAGAGATTGAGGCCGCAGGAGGCAGACTTGTGTAAACTTGGTGGCTGAGCATGCTCAGTAAAAAGGAGTTTATCCCTTGAATGACCTTCTACTGGAGACACTAGAGAGCACCTAGAACATTCTAAGTGTATTCAGGGCATGTGATAGAATTTGACCAATGAGCATGCTCCAAAGAGACCAACCGAGCATGTGCAAGGCTATGTTACAAAACCTGTTATGTAATATGGAACCACCCCCTTAGTTGAATATTCATTAGATAGCATGAATATGTGTAGATAACCAAGCTATAAAAGTTGAGTCGAGGAAGAAGGTGGGACTTTTACTCATTTTCTTTGGAGCAAGCCCTCACTTCACCTGTGAGGCATATCTGTCTTACTTTTTGTGTTAAACTTGCCTTTAGCAGGCTGCAGTTCACTCTGGAACCAGCCTGCATTTTGTAAAGTGTGTATTTCTTACTTCTGCATTAAACTTGCTGCGGCTGCTCTTCAGTCTCTGGAGCCAGGCTGCACTTTCCTGTGAAGTCGGTATTTCTTAGTTTTTATATTAAACCTGCTTTCACTTTCTACTGTGACTCTGCTGTTGAATTCTCTCCTGTAGCAGAGTCAAGAACCTAGTAGAGGACAGGGTGGGTTGAGGTTGGCTATCAGACCTCCCCGGACCCTCTTGTCTGATATCACAACCATTATTTTCCTTGTATTTTACATCAGTCAGCTACTATCACAATAATTCTGAGTAACAAACCACTCCCAAGCTCAGAGGCTTAAACAACCAGAATTTATTTTCATAGGTCTACAGTGTGGTTTGCTGTTTGGCCGATCTAGGATGGGCTCTGTTGGACCTGGTCCTAGGTCAGCTCCACACGTGTCTCATCCTCCCTGGACCAGCAGCTGCCCAGGTTATGATCTTCTCATGGTCATGGCAAAAGCACAAGAACACACACATTCAAGCCTCTGCTCACATCATGTCCACTAACATCCTACTGGCCAAAGCAAATCACATGGCCACACCCAACTGCAAAGAGGTAGGGAAGTTTGTTCCACTTACAATGAGGCCATGGCAAGGCTATGGATGAATAATCCTATTACAGGGATGTGATGAATTGAGACCCATAATTTGATCTATCACATTCATTCAATGGAGTAAGAGATAGAATTCTGCTTAGGTAACAGCCTCACCCACCGCAATACATGCCATTCCCTGAAGCCATATCAAATATTATAGAAAACTTGCTCACCACTGCCTTTGAATAGGTTTCCTATGACTGTTGTCATTATCTTAGAACTCAATGATATGTGGGCCACGTACATCTTAGAATGACAAAAAACAAACAAGCAAAAAACCAAAAAAAACCCCCAATAACCTGACAACACCAAGTGCTGACAAGGGTACAGGCTGTATCAGTCAGCATGGGCTGCTATAACAAAGTACTGTAGACTGGGTAGCTTAAACAATAGAAACTTATTTCTCACAGTCCTAGAAGCCAGGAAGTCCAAGATCCAGGTGCCTGCAGATTTGCTATCTGATAACGGCCTGTGTCTTGGCTTGTAGATGGCCACCGTCCTGCTGTGCGTTTACGTGAATTATCCTTGATGCATGCTCAAAGAAAGAGAGAGAGAAAGAGGGCACACTCTCACTCTCATGTCCCGTCCTCCTTTTGTAAGGGCAATACTCCATCATGGGGGCTCCACCATCATGGCATCACCTAAACCTAAATACCTCCCAAAGGCCCCATCTCCTAATATCACCATGTTGGGGATTAGAACTTTAACATACTAATTTTGTTAGGACACAAACATTCAGCGTGTAACACACAGCAACTAGAATTCTCATACATTTGCTGGTGGGAATACAAAATGGTACTTTGGGAAACTGTTTTGGGGGGCTAGCTTTGCACTTGTTTGAATTGTTTAAAAATTTTTTTAATTAATTAAAAAAATTAGATAAAATCTATATATAGTAAAATGCAAAGGTCTTGAGCATACAGTTGGAGGAGTTTTTTGGTTTTTTTTTTTTTTTTTTTTTTTTTGATGACCGGTAAGGGGATCTCAACCCTTGACTTGGTGTTGTCAGCACCAGGCTCTCCAAAGTGAGCAACCGGCCATCCCTATATAGGGATCCAAACCCATGGCCTTGGTGTTATCAGCACCACACTCTCCCAACTGAGCCACAGGCCGGCCCTCTTGGAGGAGTTTTGATGAATGTGTTCCCTGTGTAACTACCACAATCAAGACACAGAACACTAAGGAAAACGTGGTATATATACACAATGGAATACTACTAAGCCATAAAAAAGAATGAAATTCTGCCATTTGCAGCAATGTGGATGAGCCTGGAGAAAATTATGTTAAGTGAAATAAGCCAGGCACAGAGAGAGAAATGCCACATGTCCTCACTCATAAGTGGGTGCTAAGAAAGAAGGAAAGAAAAAAGAAAGAAAGACAAAACTACAATAATACTTAGAACTTTCAGGAGAGAACAAACCTAAGGATACTAGAGATAGAAGAGGGGAAAGGAGAGGATTAGTGGAGTGATTGGTTGGGTAAGGGGCATAAAAATAATTATGATTTGTAATAATGAGTGTGCTAATAAAAAGCATACAGAACATTCCCATTTTTCTAGAAAGTCCCCGAAGGCTCCCCATGCCCCAGTCCCAGGCAAGCACTAATCTGCCTTCTGTCATTATAGATAAGTTTGTCTCTCCTAAAACTTCATGTAAATGTGAGCAAACACTGTGTAGTCTTTTATGTCTTCCTGCTACATGCTGTTTAATTCTGCTTATTTACTGACATGATGTGGCCAGATAAATCCAACATCAAGCCGTCTTTGGTGACCTCGGGTATGGCAGACTCTGTCCATGGCCCACCTGGGCCCTGCCTTCACTGTGGCAGTGCCCACAGCCTGGCACCCAGCCGGCTGCACCTGCCGAGGGCTTTCTCTGGCTGCTGCCACCTGCCCGGTTGCCTTCTCCGCACACTGGAGTTAATGTCCTGAGGAGCAGTGGTGATGGGGTGGGTGGATAATCCCAGCTCCCCTCTCCCTCGTGGGGTGAGGGTGACTCTGATGCACTTGTCTTACATGAATTCCCTGAAGTTTTCCCACTAGGTTAAATTCCAGTGTCCCACGGTAACTTCTTGAGTCCACACCTTCTACTGGCTGCTTCCCTTTCTCCATCTTGCATCCCCATGCCCCTGACTCCAGCTCACAAATAAGCTACTTTGAATCCTTGTCTCTGTCTGGAGTGGACAAACAAGACATCAAGGGACAATGTACATTTCAGACAAGAGGTCACTGGCTGTTAGGTGTGCAGAATGGTAGTCCCTGATGTGCCACCTCACCATTCTGCCTTGTGCCATTTCTCTTGGATCTGAGTACTTATTGCAAATCTTTTCTTGTAATGGATTTTTTAATTTGTGTACATCTTCTCCTGCATAGGGTGTATGCTCCCTGGGAGCGGGGATCACACATCTGCCTCAGGGAGTGATGGGAATAGAGCATGACCACTTGGGACACATCACAATAATTGTTGCAGGTATGGGCCACGGATGGATGCAAAATGGAGTGGCCAAAGCATGATGCAAAGCAGGATATTTGCAAAGTCCCAAAGTATTTCCCTACAAGATACTTACAAAGGGAGAAACAGCTCTGCAGTGGAGAACCTGGTGAACCCCCTTAAAACAAATGATCAAGGTCACCATCCGCAGAAAGGGGACATAACATCATGTACCCCTGATCTGATGCATGGGGAAGGGCTCTGTAGTTTTCCTGCCAAAAATGCACAACCTCAACCTAACCATGAGAAGACATCAGACCCAAAATGAGGGACATTTTAGGGAATAACTGGCCAGTATTCTTCAAAAGTGTCAAGGTTATGATAGACAAAGACTGCAGAGCTGTCCCAGACTGGAGGGCACTCGGGAGACATAGCACTAAATGCAGCATGGCATCCTGGACCAGAATCTGGATTCTGCACCAGAAGAGGAACACGGGTGGGACAATCAGCAACATTTGAATAGGGTCTGTAGATTAATTTTTTGGGTTAAATCATTGTACTGTGGTTATATAAGATGTCGACATTTGGGGAAACTGGTGTGCAGGGTATACAGGTACTATTTTTGCAAACTTTTTGTAAGACAGATTATTTCAAAATAAAAAGTAAAAAAAGAAAAGTGGGTTCCTGGGTCATTCTGCTGCTGCTGAAATCTGGCTACATTACTTACTAACCACGTGATTTTGTGTAATCAATTAATTGCTCCTTCCCTCAGTTTCCTTATCTGCAAAATGGGATAAAAACAGTACCTACCTCAGAAGGTTGTAACGAGTATTAAGTATGTTAATACACATACAGTACTTAGAACAGTGCCTTGGCTCAGAGTAAGGGCTATATTAATATATGCAAATTATCATATGAGACCAACAACATCTTCTGCTGATCTTAGGGAAATTCTCTCTCTCTCTCTCTCTCTCTCTCTCTCTGCTTCTGGAAGATTTCTGGTGCAGGACCTGGTGCTGATTCCTTCTTCAGTCGGCTACTTTGGTCTAAAAGCATTTCCCCCTCTACCAGCAGCCAGATAAAGCCAGGTCCAGCACCAGAATCTGTGCCTTCAGAATTATCCACTTATAAAGGGACCAGAATAACTGCTCTCTTTGTTAGGGTCGCTACTGAGAGATGCTTGCATTGGAAAGAGAACTCGTGTCACCAAAGAGCCTTCTGGGGTCAATTTCCCTTATCTCCATTGCAGAGTTTGGACTTTTGAGCTTGTGAGACCAACAGCCCTGACTGGTTTGAGGGTATGTGTGGATCTGCCTCATAATTACTTGTCTGAGTCCTCACCCCATGTCATATTTTAGCATTCATTTGGCCAATGAGACTGCAGCATACACACCAGCCTCAGTCCCTGCTTGGGTCTTACCTTTGATGTCACAATCTGACCTGCGGGTATTAATCTGGCCACAGCTGCTAACAGAACAGATGGCAAGGTCAAGAGGACCAGCACATCATGATGTGGAGGAGAATCGGCCATCAACCAAAGATCAAAGCTGGGCCTGGACCTCAGGCAGGCCAGTTCAAGGCTCTGGGTTCAGCTCAGGAAGCTGCAATGACGCACCCTCTGGAGCTGTCGGTATTCCAGAGCTTCCCAGTGTTGGAGGACATGGGCCATCACATCAAAGAAGTGGGGGCCCAACTCGTAAAGAAAGTCAATGCCATCTTTCAACTGGACATCACCAAAAACGGGAAGACCATTCTGCAGTGGACCATTGATCTGAAGAATGGTTCTGGGGACTCATATCCAGGACCTGCCAGGCTCCCAGCAGACACTATCTTCACAATCCCGGAGCCTGTCTTTATGGAGTTGGTTTTGGGCAAAATGAACCCACAGAAAGCCTTCCTTGCTGGCAAGCTCAGAGTGAGTGGCAAAGTTCTGCTTGGCCAGAAGCTGGAGAGGGTTTTCAAAGACTGGGCTAAATCTTAAGCACGCAGATGTACCAAGGAAATGATCAGAACTTCTCTCCAATTATAACGTCGAGTGGAAACCATGCTTCGAGTGAAGATCAAAATAAAAGTATTTTTTTTTTGCTCAAATTCTTGCTATTCAAGTTTGATTAATTTTCACCCAATATTTTTGCTCAAATTCTTCCTATTCAAGTTTGATTCATTTTCATGCTGATGTGTACATTTGCAGTGAGAGTTCTGGAGCAGTAAAGAGTGTTGGAGTGAGTCGCCTATAATCTTTGTCTTTTCCTTTTCTTAGCTCTATTTGTGTCATAATATGCCAGGATGGAAGCCATGTGTAGAGAAGTGGGTGATTATGATAGTTGGAATTAAATGCTGTAAGGATTGAGTTCCTGATAATTTTTTCTTTCTTTTTTCAAAGCTTGATGCTTTGCTGAAAGAAGTGGTAATTATTGTGCAGGTCTGCATCCCACATGGTAACTTGGTTCTATGAGGTGACTTTTCACCAGGGTTGGAGGGCTTTCAGAGGGTGGCTCTGCAGCTGAGAACCTGAGTGGAACCCAGGCAATAGAGGGGATGATGCTCTTGGTGTATTATGCTGGATTCAATTCCAGGGGAGTTGAAGGGCTTAGAAGATGTTCTAGGCTAGTTGTTGTTAAACTGGAGCATGCATCAGAATAGCTTGGAAGGTTGGTTAAAATCCAGATTGCTGGGCCCCACCTCAGAGTTCCTGCTCAGTTGGTCTGGGCATGGGAGAACGCACATTTCTTTCTTTCTTTTTTTTTTTTTGACCGGTAAGGGGATCACAACCCTCAGTACGGTCTGTACCACACTCAGCCAGTGAGCGCACCGGCCATCCCTATATAGGACCCGAACCCACGGCCTTGGCGCTACCAGCACCGCACTCTCCCGAGTGAGCCACGGGGCCGGCCCAGAACGCACATTTCTGACAAGTTCCCAGGTGATGTGGCGGGCTCACCCTTGGAGAACTCCTGCTCTACTTCACTTCACGCTGGAGCTTTCAGTATTGATTATAACTATTCTAGACCAATGAGACGCTGCCATTATTTTAAAGGATCTCCTGGAGACAGATTATATAGCCGTCTGTGAGCCATTTCTCAAATATTGATGATGTCAGACGCTCGTGCATTGAGTGTTTCACAAAAACAAAGGTCATTCTGGAAGGTTTTCCCTTCTGGGTGCTCTCTTCACATGTTGTCTGGGAGACCTAGGATGAAGTCGGCTCCAGCTAATGTGACTTTGATATAGGTGAGTGTGTGTTGTTGATTCACATGTGGTTTGTGTGTACCTTTATCTTGTAGGTTAAACGTAAACAGTGTGGACACCCTGAAACCCACACGAAAGTTTCATAAAAGCTGCTGGGCTCAAACACATGCCTACCAAACTATCCAGCCATTCCATTCTTAGGAATTGTCTCAAGAGAACAGAAGCATATGTACAAGTACAAAAATCTGCACGTGAATGCTCATGGCAGCTGTGTTTATAATAGTCCCAAACTGGAAATAAACCAAACGTCTATCAATAGGTGAATGAATGGACAAATTGTGGTATGTCATACCATGGAATGCTACTTAGCAATAAAAAGGAATGAATTATTGATATACATACAACCATGCATATAAATGTCAAAATTATCATGCTGAGTGAAAGAAGCCAGAGAAAACTGAGTATGTATTATACGATTCTGCTTATATAAAATCCTAGAAAATGCATATTGTAGGGACATGAAAAAGATTGGTGGTTGCCAAGAGACAGGAACATGGGGAGCGGAGGAGGACGGGAGGGAGGAATCGCAAATGGTCATGGGTGAACTTGGGGGCTACGGATATATTCATTATCTTGATGGTGATGGTTGCACAGGTGTATACATAGGTCAAAACATCAGTTTTACACTTTATATATACATATGCAGTGTATTATGTCACTATAAGCTACTAAGCTGTCTTGAAAAACCTGCCACCCCCCATTCAAAAAGAGGTCTTTGGGTGGTTGCCTTCCTGAAGAGGATCTGTGCCTCCACCCTTCTCTTGGCAAAATAACCCTTCTAACCTCATTGTAGGCCTAGTTTTCCAACCCTTCACTGATTTGGATGGCTCTGCAGAGCCTTCCTAAGTTTTTCGCATTAGAAAAATGCAGAGTGAGGGCTTGTTGCTAACAAAATAGCCTCTCTCTGTGGGGAAGGAGGGGTCCATTTGTCCAGGTGATGCTCTACTCCGTGGTAAGACATTGCTGAGGGGTTGTGAGTGTGGACTTGGTGCGTGTCTGGGCTTCTTTCCTCATCTGGGTCACTCAGTAGATTCTCCAAGTGGTGTTCCTGCCAGCACCCCCACCCAGGGCAGTGTGGGGGTCTCAGTGGCTTCTGGCTGACTGCAGGGCTGTTGTGAGGGTTGGCTCACTGGCCCAGGCTTGGGATGCTGTGGTGCCCACATTCCTTTTTAAGAGGAATGGCTCCAAGCCCCTGCTCCCCAAGGGTCCTGCTCATACCACGTGTCAACCATAACCTCTGCTGATTGGCCCTGAGACAGGGTTGTTTAGAGATGGGGGAGGGGCGGAAAGGGGTGGAGGAGGGTGAAAGAAAGGGTGTATGAAGGGTAAGGCCTGGGCCAGCATCTGACCTATGACCTATTCTGACTTGGGACAAAAAAAGACCTGAACCAATTAGATTCCTTTCTCAGGAGTTTGAAACTGAGCAAGTGAGAGACTGAGCTACACACAGGCAGTGAGAGTGGAGTCGGAAGGCTGGGATGTAGGAGGGGAGGGGGCAGCAGGGGATGGGGTGGCTGCCCTGGCAGGAGCTGGAGAGACGAACAGCAGGAGCCTTGGGTGAGCAGAGTCAGCCACTGAGGGGAGAAAAGCCCAGGGCTGGGAAACACAATCAAAAGACACAAAACACTCCAGCTGGGATGCTACGTGGAGCGGCTGGAAGGACGAGGATTTTGGAATCAGACAGGTAGTTCTGAGTGCAGGGTCACCATCTCACATCTGCGCGATCACCGGTGATATTGAACTGCTCCTTGTCCCCACTTCCCCATCTGGAAACGAGACCAGCAGCCCCTAGGACATCAGATTGCTGGGGAGCTCTGATGAGGGCGTGCCAGCACAGTGGCACGGTCCCGGCCGGGGGTGGGGAGTTCCCTTCTCTTCCGAATGAGAGGAAAGGGGGGCTCCCATGGCTCCCACAGCCTCCCAGAGAAGGGCACACGGGGTCTGTGTGCTCTGCTCCGGGGCCTTCCTGCCTTTCCTCTTACACCTGGTGCCCTAGGAGGTCACATCTGGCTCAAAACACACATCTGTGTTCTGTTTGGTCTGTGCATGGTCGGCCAAGCACCCTGTTTTTAAACTTTGAATTAGGACATTTAAATAAAAAATTGGATTTCTGGATTCCCTTGACAAATGGGATTATTTGGCCACCTGGAGCCCGTATTCTTGCCAGGCAGCAGCTGGGGGGTGCGGGTGGGAAGCCAGGTGAGCAGACCGAGGCCCCACTCTCCATGGCATGTCCTTGACTCCGAGGCCGAGTTCTGGTGGCCGCTTACCATGCTGCTTACGTTGCCGTTTCCTGCACGGGGCCTGCTTCGCCGGGCCCTGGAGGTGTCTGTTCACCAGCAGCTCCCCGCAGTAAACGGTCTTACTATTCCCCTAACTGAAATACCCTGTTAGTTCTCCATGGCTGTGTGACAAATTATCACACATTTAGTGGCTTAAGACAATGCCCATTCATTATTTGGCAGTTTCTGCAGATCAGAGTCCAGGTGGGCTCAGCTGGAATCTCACCTTCCAGGGGGTCCTGAAGGAAGGGTCTGCTCCACACTCATTCAGGTTGTGGCAGAATTCAGCTCCTTGTGGCTGTAGAACCAAGGTCCCTGTTGGCTTGCTGACTGTCAACCAAGGACACTCTTAGCTCCTTGAGGCTGCTCATTCCTGGCCATGTGGCTTCTCCATCTGCAACGCCAGCAATGGCGTGTCAAGTCCTTCTCAGGCTTCAAATCTCTCTGAATTCTTCTGCCCTCATCTATAATCCAGGACAATCTCCCTATCTTAATGCCAACAGGTTAGTAACCCTAATTACACATGCAAAGTCCCCTTTGCCATGTAAGATATTGCTATGGACTAAATGAGTCCCCCCAAATTCATATATCAAAGTCCTAATCTCCAATGTGATGGTATTTGGAGGTGAGGACTTTGGGAGATAACTAATGTTAGATGAAGTCATGAGGGTGGGTCACCCATGATGAGATTAGCGCCCTTCTAAGATGAGAAAGAGACCAGAGCCCATAATCTCTCCTCTCTCTCTCTCTGCCATGTAAGGACACAGCAAGAAGGTGGCTGCCTGTAAATCAGGAAGAGAGCCCTCACCAGACCTGACCATGACTGCACCCTTATCTCAAGCATCTCACCCTCCAGAACTGTGAGAAATCAATGTCTGTTGTTCAAGCCACCCGTCTACAACATTTTGTTATAGTAGCCTGAACTAAGACAGGTAACGTATTCACAGGTGTGGGATTTCATCATAGCCATAGTCCTGGGGGTTGAGGTGTAGATTAAAGGAGCCAATAATCCTACTGTCTCCCCTGACTCTACCATCTACATTCCACTCATACCTTCAAAGTCCTCCTCTGGGAAACTGCCCCTCTCCCCCAATTCATATGCCCCCTTTTTTTTTCAGGCCCTGTGTTCTGGCTTTGTGTGGGGGTCAGCCTATCAGGGCCAAACAAACATCCTGGTTTGCTCAGGACAGTCCCAGTTTACACTGTGGTCTTGATGTTTAATTAGTAGTGTCTCCTTCCTCAGAAGAGTCTCAGTTTGGGTGACAGGTAACGTGGCTCCCTCTGCATCTCCCAGGGTAGGTAGGTCCTGAGGGCAGGAAGCACTCAGGGCCCTTGCTCGATTTCACTTTGTCTTGTTCTCACAATGACTGACACCCACTGTAGACTCCAAAAATATTTGTCGAATGAATAAACAAACTCCTTAAATTTTTTTTAAAACATGCACATGAAA